GCTGCTGCCGCGGGTCAGTCCCGGGCAGGGAAGGAGCGGGAAGCCTTTGCACCGGGACTCGCCCGCTGACGCCCCGCAGCAGCACGGGTGGTGCCTGGATCCCACTCCGCAAACCAGCCCTTTTGTGGCCGGTTTGAGCGGCCGCCGCCGCCCCACGGGGCGCGATGTGCCCGCGGTGCCGCCCCGGTGCCCGTCCCGCACCCCCGGTGCCCGTCCCGCACTCCCGGTGCCCGTCCCGCACCCCCGGTGAGTTCGTTCTCCGCCCGCCCGGGCCCGTTCCCCCCGCACTCACTCGATGTGCCCGGCGCGGCCGGAGCCCTCGATGGTTTTGGCTCCCCAGCGCTGCTCCCGCTCCGAGATGTCGTTCTGCGGGCGAGGCGCGGCCGTCAGTCCCCGTCCCGCACCGGGCACGGACCGGGGCTCCCAGCGCCCCATCCCCGCACCGGGTACGGACCGGGGGTCCCAGCGCCCCATCCCCGCCGCAGCCCCGCAGGTCCCCCCCAGCTCCGCAGGGCCAGGAGCAGCAGGAATGCTGAGGAATTCACTGTCGGGAAAACACTGGAGAAGCCGCAGTGACCGCAGCCCTCTGTTCTCCCAAGCTTGGCTATCACAGCCTCGTTTTGTAGCTTTGTGGAAGGTCTGAGCGTGCATTCGATAACATGAAGCATGAACAAAGTCTTTCCTAATATGCAGCAAAGCTGAAAATATGTATATATAAAAGAATTAAAATTACATAAAAAGTCTCATCCTGTTCAGGCTTAGTTTGAATGCTTCCACAAATAGAAAAAATGAAGTAAAAACAAGGAAAAAAATTGACAGCATAGATTTTTCCTAAGACATTAATAATTTCGAACTTTGAGGAAGGGAATTCTCTTGCTTTTCTGTCCCAAACTAGGATTTCTAACTGGAAATAACTAGGCAAGATTGGACCTCAAAAACACAGGGCTCTTGTGTAACAGGAGAGACTTATTAGGAAGGGAATAGAGAACCAAAAGGAAAATGAAAACCATGACCCTGTATGAATGCAGGGAGTTCCCCAGGCTGAGCCCTTCTGCTCTCTCAGCTCACCCAGAGTTAGACTAGGTAGAAAATAAATATATGAGAGGCACAGAGCTGCACCTGCACAAGCTGACTACATACAGTAGGATTTTCCATCTGGAAATAAAGACAAATGAGGGAAATGCTGGATCCTCTACAGTTACAAACAGTGTGGGACAGAGAAAATATAAGTGTTCACTATGTCTTGTAACATGGGTTGTGGGGAGGACAAGGGAAGCTACCAAGGAGCAGGTTTAGAAAAACCTGACTATTCTGTACTCCTCAAGTGCCATTACTTGTGGTCAGACACAGAGGTGCACTGATGTAGGAAGTTCTGGAAACTAAACGTGGAGATGGGGCAGAGGTGGCTCAGAGAGGTGACTGATGGTTCCCCGTGCTGAGCCCCAGCCCTGGCCCAGCTGAGCAGCAAGTGCCCAGGGCCAGGAACCCTTCACACCACCAGTGTAACAGTTACCACACCAGGAACTCACCACAAAATCCGGGTCTGTGTCCCAGTCATCTCCCTGGGGCTCCACCTTCACTGACACGTCGTGTCCCACAACCGCCTTCCACATCTGCACAGGAGGACACGGTGTCACCCAGCTGTCACCCAGGGCCCAGCACGTGGGCAGAGCTGGCTCACAGCCAGCCATGGCAGAACTTGGGCTGGGAGGGGCCCTTGCAGGCCACTTGCCCTCATACACATGCCCCTCATACAGCACAGGGTACCCCAAACCAGCTACTGCTCCTGAGCCTCAGAACGTCTTACAGCAAAACACAGAGGGAATGTAGGTGTGAACCACAGCCTCCAGGCACCCTGACTGCAGTTCAAACACACACCTCGTTGTGATGGAAATGAGTGTTGGCATCCAAATGCCAGAATCTGCTTTTCCAACACGGTTAATTTTCTGTGCTGTGAGATGCTGTTCCCCACGTTAACACAGTTGATTTTCTGTGCTGTGAGATGCTGTTCCCCACGTTAACCCCCCCCAGCAGCACAGTCACACCATTGCCACATGCTCCCATGTGCTGCTGGACCTGGGGGGGACTCTTCAAGCCTCTTGTCTGTTTTCCAACCTTTTAACCCCTGCCCAGTAGCCTATGGAAGGCTCAGGGCAAGACTGGACACTGGAGTGACAGGGCTGGAGCCGTGTGGTGTTTGTGTCTGTCATACAGAGAAAACAGGAAACGGGACTAAAAGCCCCGAGGGTGCAGGGCTGGATGGGCTGAGGCTGTGGGGGAACAGCTCCCACAGGCCTGGAGGAAGTGATGGGCCCAGGAAGAGGAAGTTAAAAGTAACATGAAATCTAAAACTCCTCTGTGTCATTTTCAAGGTGACTGTGAAAAAAGATGATGAAAAAGCCCCTCCCAAAAGTTTTCACAAAACGAGAAAGAGGGAAGATGACACGAGCTGCCAACACCCCAGAGCAATCGTTCTCAGCAGAGCTCTCATATTCCAGCCCTTTACTGTCTGCAGTGCTGAGGAGCTCTGAATTATTCTCAGTGTTGCCCAAAGCAGCTTTTCCCTGGGGCAGAGAGACAGAACAGAATGTGCAGGAAAGACTGAGCTGAGCCCTGTTCCCCATCACACCAGGCTGTGACCAGACCAGTGGGAGGGAGGAGACCTCCTGTGTGCTGGATCCTCAGTTACCAGCAGCTTTTCCCATGTGCTGCACCAACCCCTCCCTCCCAGGGCCGTGTGGGAGCTCAGACAGCCCTGAGTGCTCGGGGATTTGCCCTCCCTGCAAGCGAAATGTTTGTGCTGAGTAACTGAGTAATTCTCTGTTTATGCTAAGTAATTAACTGTACCACATCAAAAGCTGTTTAGGTGAATAACCTTCCAGTTCAGTGCAGCACACTGCTTGGTTTCAAGCTGTCCTTTCCAGTTGTCCAGAGAACCAGCACTGTAAGGCCAGGGAGCAAAGAGAACAGAAACTAAAGCAGCAGGGATGAGGCTTTCTTTTGTTAAGCAAAAGCCAGGTGGTCAGCTGAGGGAGAGGATGTAGGGCCAAGGCAGATTCACAGTTTTAAGCCTTCTGCAGGTGCCTCAGGACCATAGAAGTTCTGTGCCATTCCCCACTCACAGCAATCCTGGGCCCAGCTGAATACAGCTAATTGCACTTGGAAGCAGGGAAAGCAGGAAGGCTCACGTGGGCTACACTGGCACAATCTAGCAACACCTTTCTTCTCCTTTTCCCCTCCCTAATTTATTGGCATCTCTCACACCAAAGATTTTTAAAGGTTCTTGCTCATTTTTGTAAAGGATAAACCAGCAGCAATAACCAGCTAGCACAGGGCTTTTCATCAGGGCAGCTGATCTGAGCTCAAATCAAGTGGTTCAGGGCTTTAAATGCTGCTGTAAATGGTTCTTGAGCGCTCATTCTCCAAAGCCACCTGCCCTGCATGGTGGGAACCATGACAAACCACAGATTGTAATCGCACTGTGATGCTCCAGACACCCCCATAGTGAGAAATATCATCTCAACCCCTTAGTTTGTCTCATTTTCCCCCGTGAAAACATCCACTACAGCACAAATACAGGGCTACCACACAGCACAGTCGTGCTGGTAGGTTTGGAAATGTGGTTCTTTAGAGGCTCAGACACAAGAGCAACAACGATGACAGGACAACAGCCTGAGAAGCAAACGCCGAGCGTTACCCACTCGAACGTGCTGGGTCAGGAAGGAGTTCTCTGCCCACCAAACCCCACTTTTTTTGGTAGTCAATTCTCAATTCCCACTCCCAAAACACACTCAAGCTTTCTTACCTTTAAAGGTTCCTGCTGGCAAACTTGCTGCTCTTTGCTCAGGAACCTGCTGCCTGCAACAGCTTTGGGCCTGTGTCTGCTCCGAGTTCCTGTTTTAACTTCAGCTCTCTTCACTTCCTGCACCCCAGCCCCCAGCTCTGCTCAAGTCGTGAGTCCCCAGACCTGCCCCAGTTCCCTCCCTTGCTGCCTGTGCTCCCAGATGCTGACACAGCACACGGCCAGTGCTTCCCCACCGGCACAGAGGATCCCACCTTGTGTCCGAAGGAAGACTCTCCCATGGTTATAAAAAACTAAGTTCTGGTGGAGACAGCAGTCCTGGAGCCAGCATTCATATCTTGGGCATGCCTGTTTCTTCTGGTATCTCTCCCCATTGCTGGGAGGATTGAGGAAAACACTGACTGTCCTCTTGAACCTTTTCCTGTTCTTCCCAGCGCCTCGAAAACCCCTTTGATCAACCCTGTTGCAACATCACCAGTACCCACATGAAAGAACCACAGTCTGAGGGCTGCACTGAGCTCAGTCAGTCCTCTGGTGACATCCCTAATTCAGGCCCCAGGGAGGCAGCAAACCGCCCTGAAATCAGGGTCTGGTCTGCACAGGGGGCCTCTGTTCTGCTCAGGAGTGACTGTGACCATCCCTCTCTGCTGTTTCTCCTCAGCACTGGCCTTAGTGCAGCTCTTGTGAGAGGGGGGTTGATCTGACCTCGGTGAGGGCACCTGCAGAGGTTCCTCTTCTGCTACCTCATCATGTGCATTGTCTGTCAGTCCCAGAGCCTCACATCTGTCCTGGAACGGGAGCGGAGTGTTGGGAGCTTCCCTTCACAGCTCCATGCAGTAACCTGCAGCCACTCCTCCCTATCCTGTGACACCACCCTTCTCCTGGCACAGGACCAGACCCCGGCCCAGCTCCAGGGGTGGTGCTGAACTGGCCTGTGTGTCCCAGGGATGGCAGAACACAGCTCTGTTGGTCGACCTCCTTCTCAGGTTCTCTTGCAGAAGATCAAAACCGAGGCAGGACAGGTCTACCAGAGAAGAAACAAAATGTTGAAACGTTTGAGACAGGAAACATCAGCTAAAAGGCCCAGTCTTTCATCAGGTCAAACCACAAAGCTGTTCAGTCAGACTATGATAATCAGACCAGGAGTTTCTTCTGAGGTTTTATTTCTGTGTTTAATCTAAG